TTTTGGAAGAGTTTGAAAAGGAGTGTTGTTAATTCTGACATGTTTGGTAGGATTCACCAATGAAAGTATCTGGCTCTGAACTTTTCTTTGTTGGGAGATTTTTGATTACTGATTGAATCTCTTTACTTGTAATGGGTCTATTCAGATTTTCTATTTCTTTTTGAGTCAGTTTTGGCAATTTTGGTGTTCCTAGAAATTTGTCCATTTTTTATTCCTTTGCAGTTTATCTAGTTTAAGTTATATTGAACAATAATGCATTTTTGCTTTGTGTAAACATATCTGATTTAGTTTTATATGAAGTTACATTTAAACCATATAAAATAAATCCTGCATAAAACTGCCTTGCCCTGCATATCTGACCTAAAATGTACTTATCATGATAATGTTTTGAGCATTCCAGTTGTTCCATATCCGTATCAATACTTGGTATTTTCCATCTTTTTCATTTTAGCCATTCTGGTAGGGGAGTTTAAATGGTTTTGTTTGTTTTTTAATTTTGAAGTTTTTTGTGTGTTTGTTTGTTTTGTTTTTTAGAGATAGGGCCTTACTCTTTTACCCAAGCTGGAGTGCAGTGACCCAGTCAAAGCTCACTGCAGCCTTGAACTCCTGGGCTCAAGAGATCCTCTCACCTCAGCTTCCTGAGTAGCTGGGACTACAGGTACCCATCACCACACCTGGCTACTTTTTAAAAAAATTTTTTGTAGAGACAAGGTCTCACTATGTTGGCCAGCCTGGTCCCAAACTCCTGGCCTCAAACAATCCTCCCGCCTCGGCCTCCCAAAGTGCTGGGATTACAGGAGTGAATCACCACCTCCAGCATTAATTTTGAAGTTTTTAAGCTGTCATCTACAAGAACTTACCAACAATACATCTAGGGTCTGTCACTTTTACTGTTTTGCATATTTTTGCATATTTATAAAATTATTTGTTAAATCAAGTTTATTTTAAAGTCTTGTGATTATTCTTTTCTATTTATTTCTTTATTTTTTTATTTCAGCATATTATGGGGGTACAGATGTGTAGGTTATGTATATTGCCTTTGCCCTCCCCCCAAGTCAGAGCTTTGAGCGTGTCCATCCCCCAGACGGTGAACATTGCACTCATTATGTATGTATATACTCATCCCCTCCTCCCCGCTCCCATCTGCCCGATGCCCGATAAATGTTATTCCTGTATGTGCACCTAGGTGTTGATTAGTGAAACCAATTTGATGGTGAGTACCTGTGGTACTTATTTTTCCATTCTTGGGATACTTAGTAGAATGGGTTCCAGCTCTATCAGGGATAATACAAGAGGTGCTATATCACCATTGTTTCTTATAGCTGAATAGTACTCCATGGTATACATATAACACATTTTATTAATCCACTCATGTATTGATGGACACTTGGGTTGTTTCCACATCTTTGCAATTGTGAATTGTGCCACTATA